CCCCCCCCCCCTCCACGAGAGCGCCTGCTTTTAGGGGCGCCACCCTAAGTTTAGCCTAAGGCGCTAAAAATGTAAATCCGGCCCTGAGGTTGCGATCAATTCATTGTTGTAGTGGAGTGTTGTGTATGTTGTCTACTCACTATTTGAGGGGGGTCTTTTTGTTGAAATTTATTGCAATAAAATTGAAATAATAGGTCGCATCATTTCTTGCATTGAAAATCGTCTACCTTTCTAACAAATGGAACTTGTCATGTTCATCGTTCGAAATCGGCATTTGTTGACCGACTGAATGAGTCAGTTGCGCTGGTCACAGAATTGTGTTTTGATGCTTGAGTCTAGTAGATAAGCTAAAAATATTGAGATCCGTCCGAACCGCAACTTTCTTCGTTCAATATTAACCGAGATATCGCCCTTTGAAAAGTCGGGTTTTTGCCGTCATCCATCGCGGTAGTGACACCCTTGGTTTCTTCCACCTTGGTTTTATCGGTCAGGGAGACACACCTAAGCGCTGGTTACTCTACGTGAAACGCGGATAAAAACAAGGGGGAAGAAACCAAGGGTGTCACTACCGCGGTGGATGACGTCAAAAACGCGACTTTTCAAAGGGCGATATCTCGATTAATATTGAGCGTAGAAAGTTGCGGTTTGGACAGATCTGAATATTTTTAGCTGATCTACAAAAATCAAGCATCAAAACACAATTCTGTGCCCAGCACAACTGACCCATTCAGTCGTGCGAAAACCTCTAATGTCAATTTTTCAAATCTTGATTTTTTTTGGGTTGATAATACTTCGAGAGTTAGATGCAACCATAAAAGAGGTGTTAATACTCGATTTACTGTTATCTTAATCCCAAAACGAGTCTTTGCACCACTTTTATAATTGTATCAACTCTTGAAAAGTATTATAAACTTAAAAAAACTGATAGGTGGAAAAATGGACATAAGTGGTTTTCACACGACACGATTCAAATGATGTAATACCATACCGGAGAGGTGTAATGCCATAATATATAAAAATCGTGCAAAACTATCCTTTCCTGTCCTTTCCCCACAATTCTAATCCAAGCATTTCATCTTGCTACATATTCGTACCGGCACGCCACACACAATTGCCTGCATAGCTTCAGGGCTAGAGTAGCCACAGCGCCTTCATTTTTTTCCACACGCAACACGCGCGTCCATCGAGTGCGAACAGTTGAATTTTCAGGCGTTATTATCAACATCATCGAATACGTTGCTTATGTTGACTTTTGAGATGTTAGCTTGAGAAGCCCCGTCACGCCTTATTCTACCCGAAAGTCGTTGACAAAATTGAACGAAAAATGAGCCCATCGAAAAATGATAATATTTTAAAGTTGTTCGGTTCAAAAAACAACTTTAAATCGACTTTATTTTCTTTTCTGGGGCAAAATTATTTCAACATTTGATTTTACTCAGGGATTAAGACTGTTTTTAAAACTCATTAATTCATTCACCTTAAGGTACATTAAGGTCACCGTAAGTAGACATTAATGAGTTTCAGTGTTCCCAGGCGTGCGGATATTTCCGCGCCGCGCGGACATTCCCTATACCCGCGCGGACAGCGTACGGACAAAAACCTTATGGGAAAATTTTTCCCTATCTTATTTTGTCCGTACGCTCGCCCGGCCCTGTCCGTGCGTCTGTTTATCCGCTTTTCTTTGCAATATTTATTACTTTTGCGTAAGTTATTGATACAATGATGTTTAGTATGAAAGCCGGGTATCGTTTGGGAACAAATTACATACTTTTCGCATTAATTATATTGTATTCTTATCAAAATTCAGTCATTTCATTTATGTCCGTGCGCCCGCCCGGCCCAGTCCGTGCATCTGTTAATCCGCTTTTCTTTGCAATATTTATTACTTTTGCGTAAGTTATTGATACAATTATGTTTAGTATGAAAGCCGGGTATCGTTCGGGAACAAATTAGATACTTTTCGCATTAATTATATTGTATTCTTATCAAAATTCAGCCTTTTCATTTAAGGTCCGTCCTTGTTTTCTGTATTGTTGTGCTTTTGTGTTTGATCACTCAGACATTTTTTCTTACTTTTTTTCTCAATTTCGCCAATGTTATTGATACAAGGAAGCCACGAATAAAACCCAGGTATCATTCAGGACCTTTCTGCATTAATTTATGTGTTATTCAATCAGTTCAATGGGTTAGGAATTATGAATTTCATGAAAAGTCAGCTCCTTTCTTTTGAATTATTGCTTTTTGATGTAGGCACCTATAATTGTTCCGATTATTTTTTCCTGTCAATGCTTTCTAGAGGACATAGGTACTTGAATGTCACAAGAGATCAAGAGAACATCAACATCATCAACAAAACAACAAAACAGCCGGAGCCGGAACCGGAAACGGAAACGGAATTCACGGAACACGGACGGAGCACGGAGCGGCACGGATATACACGAGCCTCCCCGAGTTCATCCGGAGAGCGTACGGACATTTTAAGATAGGAGCACCTGGGAACACTGATGAGTTTTGAAATCTTGCGATTTTACATTTAGTAACAAAATCAATCTTCGAGTCCTCGTATTATTTTAAACTAAATTTTTTAAACCTTTATGTTCATACAAACTATTTAATTCCATGCTGATAAAAATATGTGCCCTGATACGATGTTATTTCAGGAAAATTAAATATCAGATTTGAAGGTGGAAAACACCAGAGCCGCAGGTCCAAAGTTGATTCGAGTCCATGACAAACCCTCATTTGTCAGAAAGATATGAGCTATCTATAGTCTTTATCTTAAGAATTATTCGAGGATGTTTTTCAGTTTGTCCACAACTACTGTGGCCCAATATTACGTGAAAAATAATTTTTAAGTGATGCGCGAGGTATCGCCTTGGGCTCGTTAGAAATATAAAGCGTTAAATTACAACGGCGCGGTTCTTTTAAAATTTTTAAGTCGCCTTATTTGCGAGACTCGTGTGATTCACTGAGTTTTTAGAGTTACCTCTTATTTAAAACATGGAGAGTTCCAAAAAGACTTTTGAAGGATCTTACAGGGCGTCGACCTTGAATTTCCCTGATATTTTTCTGATTTTCGGGAACAAAAAATCTCCTATGAAAACTCGGGGTGATCTTGCATTTTTCTTTACCTATCCGGAAAAAAGTAGACTCGTCTCCCAAGCTTAAAGGTGATAAAAGGCAAAAAAAAAAGGCCCCTGATAAAAGGCTTCCCTGATATTTATCTAATTTTTGGGAGCAAGAAATCTCCTTTGAAAATTCGGGATGATCTTGCTTTTTATTCATTCTGCCTATTCGGAAAAAAGTAGACTCGTCTCCCAAGCTCAAAAGTATTTTTCCCCCCATCTTTCGGGAAGCTTTGCAGCGCTGAGTCAGGAGGGACCATCAAATTTATGAACTAAATAAACTCTGAGAGAAGAGAGACGATATTTTCCTCCGTTTCCTGGTGAGTCCCAGTATTTCCTGTTTTTCAGGGTCCTACGATCATGACCTGCGTCGTTCCCTCACAAAAAAAAATGTCTCAACTACATTCACGACCGAAAATTTTCGGGTATACTCGAGGACCGCAGAGCGAAGATATACATACGAGTGCGGAGGAGGGGAGGGAGTCGTCATTTATCTGGATGGAGCTTTTTGTTGACTCACGCTTTGAGTGTTTTCGAAGAGAAGCACGAAATTCGTACTTAAAGAATAATTACCGTGACTCGAGTCAGAAGTGACACTAGTGTGCTGTTGCGAGGTTTATTTGGAATGGGCCTCTTGCGAACAAGGGATACAGCCGATTTGAAAAAGATTGAAAGGAAATTACGTTTGAAGTTGCGCATATCAGAAATGTTACGCACACTTGTGACAGGGATGCCACCGAGTCTGGAGAATGAAATTCCCTGACATTTCCCTGCTTACGCTGACAAATTTTGGTGGAATCCCCTGACAATTGAAGATATGCCAGATGGTTACATTAGAAAGAGTTTTCCGGCAACATTTATTGTCCGAAACGTTGAACCCATCCCAGAGAGCAAATAAAAGTGACTTAAGACTTTCCCTGCCATATCCGCCATCTTCACTTACACTTCCAGGTTTTGCCTGACTTATTAAAATTCCCTGACATTTCCCGGTCTTCCCTGACCCTAGAAAATGAAAATCCCTGACATTTCCCTGCTTACCCTGACAAATTTTGGTGGAATTCCCTGACAATTGAAGACATGCCAGATGGTAAAAAAGACATAATTAGAGAGAGTTTTTGGGCAACATTTATTGTCCGAAACGTTGAACCCATTCCAGAGAGCAAATAAAAGTGACTTAAGATTTTCCCTGGCATTTTCGCCATCTTCCCTGACACTTCCAGGTTTTGCCCGACTTATTAAAATTCCCTGACATTTCCCGGTCTTCCCTGACTCTCCCTGACTTTCATTGAATTTTTCAGTTTCCTAGACCGCCGACAACATTGATTTTGCCAGACACCTTCTCTCTTGTCACGTTTTTTCCACGGTCGGATCTAAGTTTGTGGTTCTGCCACTTTGCAGTGTAATCACAAACCACGAGGTACAAGTTGGGTCGATGGCGGCGCGTGAATGATCGATGATCGATATTTCCCCATTTGAAGTCATGATAAAGAATCGATTATTAAGGCGTTCGTTGCGTACAACCTGTCTATCGATCCTATTCCACAGGTTTAAATGGCAGATCAATCGATATATCGATATACCGCGGGCGCGGCGGTCATTTCAGACGAGGAGGCTGGAACCGCAACGGTCCAAGTCCCCAACACAGTGTTGCCAGAATGCAAAAGCGATTTAAACCGTCACTACACCTACGGGCACTCTGCCGTGCTAAGGAAGAACGCCGTATGAGCATTCGAGAGTTGTCAAATTTCCCTTGATAAAACATGTATTTTTGACGAAATTGATGCATAATTTCCCTCAGAATATTCAAAAATATTTAGATTAAATTGCGTACTATATTGTCTGGAAATTTTGGAACAAAATATTCTCAATTTTCGCAGTAAATTCGGTTTTTATCGAAGGAAATTCGGCAACGTCTGAAGGCTAATACGGCGTTCTTCCTTAGCACGCCGTATCAACATCCTGGAGTTGCCAAATATTCTATAAAAAAATACAAATTTTCAACTGAAATTGCGAATATTTTGTGTCGAATATCTCGGAGAATATTATTCGTCTTTTCATTCTACAGTATCTAGAAATCTCATTGAGAAATATCCGTAACTTCTGTCAGGAAAGATAATTAAATCGGGTGACATTTGACAACGTCCAAATGCCTTTACGGTGTTTTTCCGTAGGCCGGTGGAGCAGTCCGCGTTTCCGCGTACGACGCGGCAACACCGGACGACGACATCGCTCGATCGCTTCGCGCGCCTGTCAACCGCTAATTAGAGCCTCGGTTTACGCATCAATTAGCCCCTTACGCCTTTTTAACCCCCACCCCTCCTTCCCTGGGAGACTGATCTATTGCGGCATTTCAGCCGCGTATCGTGGATTTCCGCAATTACTGGACGGAGGCTGATGTATTGTCTCTTCTGGTGATGGACCCCTCGTTCCCAGGTGTTATTCCACAGTAACGAGGGCGCGAGGGGTGAATTGGACTACATTTTGCAATTTGGGACTATAAATTCCAGCCCGGTTTAAAAACAACGTATGTGCCATTAGTTTCCCTATGCACATAAGTGTTTTTCCAGAGGAGCCAGAAGTTATAGTTCCAAATTGCAAAATGCAGTCCAATTCTGCCGTGCTAAGGAAAAACGCCGTATGAGCCTTCAGATGTTGCCATATTTCCTTCAATGAAAGTCAAATTTACCGGGAAAATTGTGAATATTTTTTTTCAAATCTATCAGGAAATTTTGTTCGCGATTTGGTCGAATATTTTTGAAAATTTCAAGGAAAACTATGCAAAACTTTTCTCACGAATACATGTTTTCTTCTAGGAAAATTGGCAACTCTCGAAAGTTCATGGCGTTTTTCCTTAGCACGGCAGAATTATCGGATATCGATATTTTCCCATTTAAAACTATGGTAAAGAGTTAATTATGACATCGATCCTTTTCCATGGGTTTAAATGGCTTACATTCAATTCATCGCAAAATTCGAGAGTGGCCAAATTTTCCCGGACAAAAGGTGTATTCTTGAGGAGAGGTATGCATATTTTTCCTTGAATTCGTCAGATATTTTTAGAATGAATTGCGAATAAAATTGTCTGGAAAAATTGAAGAAAAAATTTAAAATTCCAAATTAAATTCAGATTTTCTTAACGGAAACGTCTGAAGGCTCATACTGAGTTCTTTCCTGGTACGACAGAGCTACTCTATGCTACCTCTGTTAGACGAAATGAGAAAAATTTCAAAAATTTGAAATTGCGACAAAAATGACGAAACATTAAAACAAAATCCGGACTTTTTTGTGGAATTTCCGCCCTTTTAGCGGCTCTGGTGCTTGCACTAGAGCTGCTATTCCGGACGGTCCCAGCTGGGGAGTATCAATGCAGCATGTTACATTGTAGAGACCGCGCGTTGGTTGATGGGAATCGGCGCCATTTTCGGCTATGTTCCTTGTCATGACTTTATTTTATTGCATACTGTTTTATTGTTAGTCAATGCTATGTTGTGTATTGTATTTTTGGAATCATGGTGATACAGTCAACAATTTAAAACTTGTTTGTGCTTTTATCTCGTGATGGAAAAAATGTACTTTACGTTCAAAATTAGAAAATTTGAATTTTAAAGTTTTCGCGGTTAAGGAAGCTTTAACCACTGGGTTGGAGCTTCCTAATCATATTACTTGATATCAGCTGATAGCAAACAAAGGTTACCAGGGAAACCGTAAACGTCTAACAACTATCGTTGCCATTGGGGCGATTATTGAAATGATATCTACTGTATGTCGCCGCTTACGACAGGACATAGCCCTATCTTAACTGTGTGATATATCGCAATTCGATATTGTTTTGATTTTTAAAAGGAGCAATTCATTCATACAGTTCCGATTAGTTTTGGCGAACGGGCCCTTAACCTATGGCACTCGGCTCATGGGAATTTTTTAACTTGTCCTGGACGGACTCGTCTGTAGCGCCTCGTTCTTCGTTGTGTGTGTGATTTCGTGACGAAGTTTCTATGGCAATTTGCTTTTATTTGTGAGCTGTTTTTTCACGGGATTTTTGAATGTTCTGTACGAATAAATTCGGTGAGTACCTCATTATCCCTCCTTCCAGTAAAATTATTTCAACTTTTCCTTCTCCCTCATTCTGGACCCACTCATGGGCTGATTATTTTCTCATTCTTGAAACTTTAGACTGGCAATTTCTATGCACAATCTATAGCTCATTCATTATTCATATTTCATTCATCAATTCCGGTGAAAAAAACGACTCTATCTTAAATCAATACAAATATACAAAATAATATAAAAAATGCAATGGCATTTTCTTTAGTAGTACAAAAAATTAATACCTCTACCTTCTAATATCAAAATTAAATCGATTCGACATCTTACAAG